CATTTAGCAGCATAAACCTGGCCAGGTTAACAACGGTTTACTACAGCTGACCCGCAGTATTTATTTTTTTAAAAAATGAATCCCAAACCTAATGTTCTCAATGGCTGACCCAAATGTCATTTCATAATGACATCTGAAGGTCTGAGGGTGAGGACTGAGTATTTTATCCAATCTGCTAATGGGGAAAGCTTTTATACTGCTGGTGCCACGCTCACGGGTGGCTCTGGAGGTGGGACAGGTTGGGACATAGGACCCTCCCAGCGCAGGGTTTAGCTCTCAAGCGAACAGGCCAGTGCACTCGCCCTCAGACACGTGTGGGGCATACTTGTGGGTACCATTTTAACTCATGTCACATTTCCTAGTGATTGGCGGGAGCAGTGGGGTTGGGGTATCGGCTGCTTCCAGTCCAGTGTTAATCCCCCAGGCCACAGCTGTCTGTTCTTTCGCAATGAAATGAAAAATGCGAGAGGTCTCCAATGGTGATGGTGGGTGGGTGAATTCTGTCCGCATTCATTAAATGAATATACATCATTTAAACTGTGATGGGGTTCAGGATATAGCCCCCAAATATGGCACGATGGCCTACTGAATGTTTCAAGCTAAAGGAACTTGGGAAATGGTATGTTCAGGAAGGACTTTCTGACCTGGTTCTGAAGCAGGTCATAACCCTCACGCGACAGGTGCCCTCCCCACCCCTGGGAAAAGAAGCATCTTATGTCTGAAGAAGAGAGGAATCTGAACAAACAGGCCTGGCTAGGCTTCCCCCAGCTTCCCGCCCTCACCGTATACCCTTTGTCCTATTACAGCTTTCCACAGCTTTCCACTCTTCTTCAAGTCTAGCATAAACACGTTTAAGTGTTTCTTTGCATCATTTCTGTATGAAGGCTCCAGTGTCAGGTAAAACCTGCATTAGAAAACTTGTATGCTTTCCTCCTGTTAATCTGTCCTCTTCAGTTTAATTTTCAGACCCAGCCAGGGACCCTAAGAGGATGGAGGAAAACATTTTCCTCCCCTAAAACAGCACAGGTGGTGGAAACCCATAATGCTTTGCCCTGGTCGCCTGAATAGCTGCATGTCCCACGGGCAGCTTCCAGTCTCAAGGATCACATCCTGGTCTGACTCTAGGCTTCCACCTGGGTGTGGGGGTAATTCTGTGCTCACATGTTTTAGCACAACCCAGACCAGTCTGGGTTTCCTTTCTACTCTTTTCAACCCCTTATCTGTCCATCTAAATAAGGGAATAAATCACCTTTTCCCTGAAGTCCCATGAGAAATGAATTGTTTCATGTGCAGTCCACCTACCCGGATGTGTTGAACACAGTTATGGAAGGCGCACACTTTCGTGGATGTGTAGTAGGGAAAATCCTTCCTACCTCAGCGGGGTTGACATGAGAACTGAATCAGGAACCATACAGCCAGCTCTCACCATGGTGCAAGCACAGAGAACACGCTCAGTACTTGACCCTTTACACAATGTGGTTGCTTTAACGCCTGTTCTCCCGTCTTCTGTGGTGGCTGAGGCGGTAGCTGCACTGTCTCCTGACCCCAGGGGTAGGGATGGGATGGGGAATGAAGGATGGCATATGTCTTCAAGACCCCTGCTTCCCAAGCCCTTGTCCACAGACCTAGTGACAGGGTTATAAACACTGTTCTTGGACCACTCCCCCAAATTCCAATATAATAGTTTGGGGAAGTAACCATGGAGACCACAATTCTTATTCAGGCCAAGTATGCCACAGTGTTATTTTTAAATCCTCCAAGAAAACAAGTCTTTCCATAATAAATAGCAGTAATTCTCTGAACGTTTTTCCTTCTACCTCCTTAAATCACTTGTAGTTGGGAGAAGGGCCCCCCTTCTTTGCCAAGGAGAGTCATCGACCTGTGCACTTGATCCTGCCTGACCTCTGGCCTCCATCTCTCCACATCTGTTCACGTCTTTACCCTTCTCAATCTTTATGGTCATTTTTTGCCCCCAGCCCTTTCCTCCACTTGAGAGTCTCCCTTCTACCAGTTTCTATGACAAGTCTTCAGGTTCTCCTTCTATCTCTGATCGGTCCTCTTCTTCCCAAATAGATATATGCTCCCAAGCTCATGTCCGCAGACCTTCTCCTCTCTTCTGCTTTTCTCCTTGACAAGTTTCATCCACCTTGATAGTTTCATTGAACACGCCTAAGAGGGCAGTCCCAAATCTTTGCCTCCCTCTAGCCCCAGGCCAGCATTTATAACTTTTTACTTGACATCTCCTCTTGCTAGCCAGACCCGAACTCCTCACCCTCTACATGGAATAGCTGTTGCCCCTGGCTTCTCGGTCTCTGTTAACGCCAGCACGCAGGCTGCAGTTCTCACACATAACTGAACTTAAAGTGAACTTTCTCTACTGTTATCATTATTTTCTTGCTTCATTGGTTCCCTCAAACTAAGTTGTTTTCCATTTTTCTAATTCATAGTCTCATTTCTACATATGTTTACAAAAAGATCAAACCAAATCAAAGTGTTTTTGAAGAGTCATCACTTTCTAAACTTAGTGCAGAGCTTTGGTCATCTTTGACATACATGGCCCAGGCCAGTCCAGTCAAATTTCTTCCCCAGGTTTAATCTAAGTGGAATGAACCTAGAAGAACCCTTGACACCAGGGCCATGGAACCGGAAAGATGAGAACCCAAGACTTTTATACATTTGATTGGGTATCTGTCACTGTCCCCTGAACACACCCAAGCTCTCCTTCTGCCATGCCATTGTCCCCTTTCCTCCTTTTCTACTAGTTGTAACTTCATCCATCCATTGCTCAAATCTCTAACACAATCAGCATCTACTCCGCAAATTCTGTGATCTCTACCCCCTTTGAACCATGCCCACTACAGTGTAAGCTTCTTAATGACTGAAAGTGTTTTCCATTCATTTCTTTGTCTGCCACCATCCCCATTCCCCAACTTGGGCACAAAACTTTGAAGACAAGTGTGTAATGTTGACTCCTTGGTGTCAAAGAAGCATGTTCCATCACCAGTTTTTGTATAATACGTATTTCTTTTATTCTAACATGCATATTTTTCACAATTCAATACTGGTGAAATCAGGGTTCATCTTATAATCATTGGCATGTTATAATTTAATTAGAAATTTTTCTTTCTTTAAGAAAAAATAAGTGATACATAAAATATGGGTGCATCTTTCTTACATTTGATGGTGCCTTAGATTCAGTGAACTGAAGTATCATTCAAGCATCCCTGAAAACAACTGTTTATTCCCCTGTCCTCCTGCCTCTAGGGTGAATCATTTTATGTTCTCAACATTTCCTTAGTTCCTATTTTCTACTCCTACTTAGTCTCCTGTTTACCTCCTTTAGTTTTCCACTGTTCTCAAGCAGAGCCAGCTGCTACACTGCAATAAGGCAATGTTAAGTACAATGGTGCCATTGTATCCCATTCCCACACGATAAAATGCTGCTTAGGATCCCATATGTTTGCTACAGAATTAACTCTAGTTAAATATATTTTACCATAAAATTGACTCCAGTTAAATATAAAAGCTAGTTAAAATACATCTTTACTTTTTAAAAGTGTGAACAGGCTACCTTGTTATATGAGCTTCAATTTATGAAGACAACCTAGTCAGAAACAGAGTAGTGTTGGAATTAAATAAGACAATCAAAGTAATATGATATATTTAATGACAATATAATTATCATTCTTTGAGCAGCATGGTGACCTAGGAGAGTCTCTAGAATAAAGGTTTCTCCACAAGTCCAGGTGCCCTGTCCCATCCAACTCTCCTTATTTATACACTTTCATTCCTCATTTGTCTACGAGGCTAGGAAATCCAGTGGTCTTGGGCCAGGCAATTCCATCGAGGGGACACTGTCCTCACTAGCACTGACATGGGCACCTGCCATGACCCCTAGTGTTGTAGAAAAAGGGGGTCTCTCGCTTCCTCTTTCCATAGCTAGGATCCAGCCAAAACAAATGACTTGCCCCATAAACCCTATACTCTGCAATCCCAAACTTCCCTGCCTCTCCCATGCCTTCACTCAGGCTGATCCCTTCATCTACAGAGGCACTAATAGTTACTTTCTACGAGTGTGGGAATGTTCTATATATCTGCACTGTGCAATACAGTAGCTGCTAGCTAACTATGGCTATTGAGCAGAGCACTTGAAATGTGGCCAATGCAACTGAGAGACTGGACTTTTAATTGTATTTAACTTTAATTTAAATTTAAATAGATACATGGCTAGTGGCTACTATATTGGACAGCATAGATCTAGGGTGTCCTTTTCTACAAGCCTATTTAGCATGTACATTTCTTCTCCAAATCCTTAAACTTCTAGAGAATTACCAAACCTGAGAGCGGTCTTGGGGATCTCTTGAACTTGTAGTTGCCCAAAGTAATTTAATTAACATTGGTGTCTGGAGCCAGTCACACTGAGAGTTAAACTTCTTGAATCACACAGCCTCTGGACCAGTGGGCTAGAGGCCACAGTTCAAATGAGGGCTGGTGGCCAGAGATGGGAGTTTGCTCCTCAACATGAGCAATGGAGTGGTAAAGCAAGTGTCTGGGACGAAGGTCACACAAGGAGTGTATATGGGCACAGAGGAATGGGTGGGGACCTGACCCAGGGGAAGGAGGAGAGAAGCTGGGATGCAGAGAGCAACTGTGCCGTCAGTCGTGCTGAGGGAGTGAGATCGGGTAGCTACCGGCCTCTGGCTTGAAACTTCTGGAAGCCCTGGTATCTATGTGCCCTAATCCTCAGGAACTAAGATCTTGCCTCTGGGAATCATGAGCTGTGGAGCAGATTCCACAGGCCAATGCTTACTTCACTTAAGGCAGGGTTATGCTCTCTCTTTATTTGTACCATTTGTCTACTCTTGACCAGAGCACCAGACACCCAGACACTGAACAGAAAGGTGGTAGGGGGCAATGGGGAAAAGAGCAGAACAACTTCCTTCAGTAATTAAGAAATCTTACTGATTTACAAGGCTCTTTCCCCCAGAACTGCCTTCTAATTCCAAGTACTGTGATTTAAAGAAAAAGACCCCTTCTCAAGATTACATCGTCTACTAATTAGAGATTCTACTAGAGATTAACTAGGGAAATGGTCGTTCACAATTTACTGAAGATTCAACAAATCAGACTGTTTTCCTAATCTGAGCTTAGCGGCATTTGAGGAAAGAGTCACTCACTGTGGGAGTAGGGGAGAAATTATTCTAGAGTGTGGGGCACTCTGGTAGGCACAGGTAAAGGGGGGATCCCCAGGGTGGGAGCAGGGCTTGGACACAGGGATTACTGAGCACACCTACTGTAGAAGCATAGAGAGGGAGGTAAGATGGCATCTGAAATAAATTTCTGCAGCAGACCCATGTCTCCTTCTGCCCCCAGATCAGGTTCTGCAGTCACAAATTCTCTAGTCCCTGTCCCTCTCCCCAGCACTAGGCTTCTCCTGCATGGAGGTTCTGGGAGAAAAGCATTGAGCTGGCTTCATGAGGGCCTCCTAAGAGACAGGAAATGCTTTTCTAGACAGACCTAGCAGGAAAAGTACCAGCAACAGAATGGGTCTGTGGGGAAACTGGAGGCAGAGGGCGGGAGAAGAGCAGAAGTACTTTCTGCCAGATGTAGAATGAGCACAGGCTTAGAGGAGTTTTCTTTGAAAAGAGACCTTCTAGTTGTTCATTTCCACAGCACCTGGCAATGAATATTTAATAAATGGTTGAATGGATGGATGAATGAATAATGTCCCTTAACATTGCAGACTAATGCCAGTTGCCAGACTCACACAGATCAAATTATTTCCTCTCTAGGATCTGAGGCTTTTCCTTCTTAGTAAGCACTTAATCCAGTTGAATGGGTTTACAGATGTTTTATTCCGATTTTGAATCCCAATTTCCCATCTCCTGTCCAGAATGCCCCTGAGCTTGCCCTTCATTTCCCCTTTTGCCTCCACAACAAAATCCTAGGCTTTTTAGGGGTCTCAGAACATCTGGAAGGCATTTGAGCCTTTTTTTTTTAATAGAAGGAGGCTCCATAACCTGTTCACACACAAGAACAGAAGACAATCCCAGAGAGACATAAAGTGGGACATAGCACAACAGGAATGAGGGGCAAACCCATGAGGTGGGGAAAAGGCAGTAGAGCTCCTCCAGGAGGGGACACTGCTCACAGGAGTCAAGGGGCTGCTGTTCTGTTTGCTGAGAGGAGCATGGTCAGCAGGTCCATGTGCGGATGGCTGGCCAGGCCCCATAGACATGTAGGCCCTTTGCCAGGCACAGCCTTGGAGCCCCTAGGAAAACACTGACCAATAAACTAGGTTGAAAAATATGTAGGAGGCAGGGAATATCAACCTGGAGTATTTGTCAATGGCGTGGGTGTTCTGGAAGATGCGAAGACCCACCTGGCCCTTCAGAAGCCCCTTCTTCCTGGAGGAATTGGATTCATTGCTCAGGGCCAGGTGGACCACTATTTTGTCTTGTCTCTCTTCTTCTGTCAGAATATGGCTTCTCGGGTATCCAGCCAAGCTGTTGGCCTCAGACTCACTGTAGCTTCCATCCAGCATCATGGTTCTTGAGGGAAGCATTCCACACATACACGGGAACTGCGGGCAGCAAACACAAGGGAAGGTGTCAGGCTTGGTTAGGCCTTGTGAGAGGAGCAGAGGAGGTGGCCCAGGCCTAGAACAAAGCCCCATAGCTACTCAGAACCACAGAAAGGCACAACTAGAAGGATCCCCAGAGATCACTTAGCCCAAGGATCCTCTACCGTGGGTCCATATTAGTCACCTGGGAAGCTCTTAAAATGGCCACATGCACAATCCACTCTAATTTAGATCCACTCTAATTTACTATGTAGCCAGGGTCTAGAACCACTCATTTAGTCCAAATGCCCTCAATTGCAGAGGCAAAAACTAAGACCCAGAGAGGCTATACAACTCTCCTGAGATCACACAGCAAGTATCAGAGTCAGGACTTTAAACCCATACATTCTTATTCCAGTTGTGGGCCTCCCCACCTTGGTGCATGGATCAAAAAATGATTAGCTAGGAGAGCGTCTTTACTCTAGAGAGTTACATGTAAGGATTAAGGGTCATGATGCCTGCAATGTATTTTTAAATGGTTCCATTACACAAACAAAACTATGTTTATATAGAGAAAGAGCTCACACAAAGATGGCAAAATGTAAACAATGTCGGATGTAAGTGCGGGCATATGGATGTATATTATCCTATTTTGTTAACGTGTTTCTGCAAATATGAAAATGTCTATAAATTACAAGCTGGAGGGAAGGAAATGGTTTTGCTTAACTTCTCCCCCAATCTGAGTCAGCAAAGACAGGGCTTCCAGCTGGTGTTACACTGGTTGGTGTTGGCCAAAGGCACGAGGCCTGCCTCATACAGCCAACTGGACATGGGTTTATTCTTCCCAAGCTGTTGATGTTAATATGGTTCTAACCTGGCCCTCAGCCCTGCAATGCCTCTATTTTTCCACCTGGGAAAGTGAAATAATGACATTTCTCAACCTGCCTCCCATTGTTATGAATCTTGAAATATTTAAATGGATACCATGAAAGAATTCAAAAACAGATGGATGACTTTATGGAAAATTAGAGTTACTTGAAGTATTCTTACACTTGAAGAAATCTTTTGTGGCTATTTTTTTTAATTAGGCATGATTGTTTCATTATTTTTTTTCTATGTCTTGTCCCATCGGCCACAATAATTAGGTAGCACATTAAGACATTCCTAGAATAGACTAACTCAAAGACTTTAGGAATGAAAGGTCAGTAAGAGATCACCTAATCAGTTCTTTGCATTTAAATATGATCACACCCAGACTTAGACAAAATTGTGAGATATTGTCACTAGAGCCTTTTGTTGTTGTTGTTGTTAAAGGCACAGGTCTTTACTTCTTTTCCTTGTACTAAACTGAAATTCCTTCTGCTAAAAAAAACCAGACTTTTCTCCTAAGATTTTGAGTTAGAATCAGGAAATGTCAAAGATTATGATAATTTTCCACAGCATCTTGTTTATAAGAAAAATTAAGCAGCTCCTGGCATGTTGAACAGCTCTGGATAATCAGCCCAAGCATTCGAGTGTGTGCAAGGGAGGCAGATGCCCTTCAACCCAAAGCAGTGTGGGTCCCCATTTGAAGCAGGGTGAGCCTAGCAGGCTCCAGTCAGCTTTGCCTTTCGTGGAGTAGAGGTTGAACTTCAGGGAATAACAGAATCACCTGGGAGCTTATTAGCAATGTAAACTCCAGGATGCCATCCCTCAGTAGGTCTGGGGTGTGGCCTCAGAATCCTCGTTTTTAACAGGCTCAGAAGGTGACTCCAGGCCAGGTGTTCCTTGGCTCCCTTTTTGGGAACCTCAACTCCATTAAAGGCCATTTTCACAGTTGTGAACAGTGGTTTCTCTGTGGGGCAGCAGGAGAGAGATTTTGTGTCTTCCCACCATTGTCTATCCTCCTGTGACTGTACCTTTTCAGCCTTTAAATGGCACATGTCACAACAGTGGAGTACAAGCTCTACCCCCAGGTGTCTGTTCTCACACTGACAGAGAGCTAGACTTGGGGCCCAAGAGTCTTTCCCCATGTGACTTCCTTGTTTCTTTTTAGACAGTATCGGATCATCACTGGCAAAGACCAGGCCCCAACATATGGTTACAGGTTGATGAACTGCCCAACTATAAGTTATTTGCGGTTAATGATTCATGAGCCCATATTTGTCAGATGAAGGCTGTTATTTTCTGAGCAGTTCTGTGCAGGAAAGTCTAACAGATTATAAATCAAAAGTGTTTACACATAACCCAAAGTCATTTGATAATAATCAGTGTACAGATTATTAATTTGAATAGCTATTCAAATGCTGAAGTTAAAAAGGTTTGAATAGAATTTTAAATATACATTTTTTAACAATCTAGCATACTAGAGAGAATGTGGAAATTTTTAACAGGTATAACGTGGGCACAGAAGGACCTTTTGAAAAGGCAACAGATCCTCTTCTCCTAAAATTTAAAGTTCCCTGTGCTAAGGAGCTAACAGCCACCTAGGTGGGAATAAATGTGGGATTTTCATGTCCCCTGATCTCTATGCCTTTTAGGTGAACACTCATTTTGCCTAGTGCAATGACAAGCAATGATCTGGTAACAAGTTGGCATTTTATTTTTTACTGTGATTAATTAGAGTCTGCATATGAATGAAATAGACTTTCCCTCCCTGTGTCAAAGGCCCATACATGTTGCCTTCGATTCCCCATTTGCATGCTCTCAGTACAGTGTAGTTTAGTATAGTATAGTGCAGTGCAGTATAGATACTATAGTTATTTCCAATGATTCTAAAGACTAAGGTTCTATGTGGCTGAGCCAGAGCACTGATAAATCAAGGAGCTTTTTATTCTAGAATTCTTGCCTTATCTGGCCAAAGGATATGAAGGCATTTTCTCTAGGCATGTTCAATAATAATAGTAATACTTACGTGTGTCTAGAACCCTACAGTTTCAAGACAACTGTCCCATACATTACTTTATGTGACCCTTACAATAACCCTGAAAGGAAGGTGGGGAGAGGATTCTGTTATACCCTTTTACAGATGAGAAAACTGAGGCCCAGCGTAAGCGGCAGAGTCAGGCCTCAGAACCCAAGTCTCCCTGTATCCTAGTCTTTGTCCAAAGGCCCTCCGCGTTCTGGGATCCTTCGGGCAGACGTGAGAACCTGTCCTACAAGGGGCCACCCTCCTCTCGCCTGAGCGCCGCCCTTTCCTGCGCCACCCCCTAGCCCGGGCTGGGAGAGGGGAGGAAGGGGCGGGCTCTCGCCTTCTCCCGCAGCTTCCGCTCCTGCCGCTCCTGCACCGTGGTCAGGTAGTTGACGGCCGCGTACTCCAGCACCGACAGGAACACGAACACGAAGCTCACCCAGAGGTAGACGTCCACGGCCTTGACGTAGGAGACGCGCGGCATGGAGGCGTTCACGCCCGTGATGATGGTGGACATGGTCAGCACCGTGGTGATTCCTGCAACGGGCAGCGGTTAGTTCAGCCGCCGCCAGGGTGCAGAGCACCCCCCGCGTGTCACTAAGTCCAACGAGAAGTTCCCGGGACGCAGGCTCAAGCCCGGCTGCTCCCGGGCCCGCTCGCGGCCCAGCCCCGCCCGCGGCCCA